CTAAAGGAGATCAGTCCTGGGTGTTCATTGGAAGGATTGATGTTGAAGCTGAGACTCCAATACTTTGGCCACCTGATGCGGAGAGGTGACTCATTGGAAAAGACCCTGCTGTTGGGAAAGATTGAGGCCAGGAGGAGAAGGGTAAGACAGAGGATGAGATGGCTGGATGGCATCACCAACTCAATGGACATGAGTTTGGGTGAACTCTGAGAGTTGGTGATGGACAGGGAGGCCTGGCGTGCTGCAGTTCATGGGGTCACAGTCGGACATGACTGAGCAACTGAACTGGCTGGTAAAGTGGGTACTGTGTAGGTGCTCTGAGCATGTCCTCTCACCCATAAAGGGGGTGCGGGGTGGATCTTTTAGGAAAGAAATTGGTTTGTAGAAGCTAACTTTCAAATTCTTTATGGTCTGACTGGGAAGATGAGCCCATGCCTGGGGTGATCAGGAAAACCAAGTCTTCGCGATTCCTCCTAGGAACAGTTGGGACCCCAGGAGGCAGCGGCACGTGTCCTTGAGCTCTCCAGACAGTGCTTATGCCAAGTGAACCCAAGAGGATGTTAAAGACTGGAGTGAAACAGGAGGCGTGACGCATGTCGTCTGGAAGGTGCTGGAACCTCAGCCACCTTCCAGAAAGCTGCACACCTGGGCATCAGGCCCTGACTACCAGGTCCCGTGGGCACTGGGGCGGGAGCGCTTCTGTGCCCGCTTAGCTGGGGGACAGGCATGTGCGTGAGTGCACACACAAGCCCTTTCCAAGTTCAGTTGACCAGAGATCCAAGGCAGAGACTCCAGCAGGTCGCCTGAAAGGCTGTTCTGTGCTTTTACAATGAACAGGAAGGGATGGAGCCAGGGAAGTTTCAGGAGTGCATTGTAGGTGGGGGTGTGCCGAAGGAGTCTCAACCAGCTCAGAGGACACTGAGTGGTGGCCGGCATGGGGACTCAATGTGGTGTGTCCCTGGTCACTACAGACAGAGTCTAACTCTTTCAGCTGGACATTCAATTAGGGTTCACTGAGTTCAGTGGTCAGGTCGGTTTTCTGAAAACAGTCTTAAGTGGACTCTCTCTCCTTTTCTAAGCTACTTTAAATTGCAGAGTGTTTGCTTTACAGTATTGTCTTGGTTTCTGCCCTACACTAGCATGAATCAGTCATAGGTATACATATGGCCCCTCCCTCTTGAACCTCCCTCCCTTTGTATTTTTTTGTTTTGTTTTGTTTTGACTGCACTGTGCAGCATGTGGGATCTACTTCCCTGCCCAGAGATTGAACTCGAGCCCCCTGCATTGGAAACACAGTCTTAACAACTGCACCTCCAGGGAAGTCTGTCTTTTTTTTTAAGTTAGAAATCCTTCTTTTAAGATTTTGAGAACAGTCACAAACTTACAGAAAAGTTGGTGCAATACACAGAAGATTTCTTCCTGAGCCATTGGAAGAGTAAGTTGCTAGTGTGATCAGGCTCTGTCACCACAGGACACCTCTTAGGTAAGCACAGTCAAATCTAGGAAGCTAGCCTTGACCTACCACTGCCACCTTGTCCTCAGACTCCGTCCCACTGTCCCCACTGACCAGTTGATGGTCTTGATGCACAGGAATCTGGGTCAGGGTCAGGAGTCCTTCAGTGAGAAGCGGCCCCTCAGCCTTCGCTTAACTTTCCTGAGGCTGACGTTCTGGAAGATCAGAGGCCAACTGCTTTGTGCAGTGTGCCTCAAGTCGGGTTTGTCTGGAGCTTCCTCGTGGTGAGGTTCAAGGCTTCCTTTTTTTGGCTAGAGTCTCTCAGAACTGGCACTGACTCTTCTCATTGCTCCCACCTGGGTGACCCTGGTCCCTCTCTGCCCGCTGTGACAGCCTTACTTTGGTCTCAGGATTGAGCTGCTGGCTACCGGGTTTCACAACATGAGCTTTCACATGCACTTCACATTCGTAATTGATAGCAGTTTTGTGGCTAGTTACTTTAAGACTATGAATATCCTGTTTATCATCAAATTTTTAATTAAACAGTATCGTTGTTTCTTTGGGTGTTCAGGTTGTCTTTGCTTTGGGAGCTTCAGGCTGGCAGCCATGTGCTTTTTCACGTGTCTCTGTTCTTTTAGGAGGGATTCCTTGCTTCCTGGTGGAACAAGCTTTTCCAAGCTCATTTTGTCCTTGCCTAACCTTGGCCCTGGAGTCAGCCTTTAATGACACTTATAAACCAGTACATGGGCAGGAGTGCCGCTGCTTCTGGCCTTTTCCAAGGACAGTTAGGGAATGTATGTATTGGAGAGAGAGACACACACACAGGGTTAGGAATGTATGTTTGTGACAGAGTGAGGAATGTATGTTTGTCACACACACACACACACACACACACACTTCATTCTGACTGTTTCCCATTGTCTCCCTTGTCTCCCTATTTCTACCCTCACCCTCTCCCTTGCACAAGTGCCCTCCTCAGCGCCTCAGATGTCAGCCTCCCCCTCTTCTGGAGGCCCTGAATTTCCCTGCTGAGCCCTCTCTTCTAGAAGTTCCTTCCTCACCCCACTTGATTGGGCTGCACCTTCCTCATCAGCCACACCTCCATGTGGACACCCTGCTCACCTGCCCTGAGCGCTCTGACCACCTGCCCTGAGCTGTCTGACCCCCCGGCACCAGGTGCCGGCCTGGTTCTGCCACATTGCCTGACTTTGGGATGGAACTGAGCAGGAAGGGCAGAGCTGTGGAGGGGAAGGCATTAATTTTAATAAACTTGGCAGATTTGCCATTTTCAGTGCACTTTGCTATTTAAGGGGCTCCTGTTCCACATCTTCCTCTAAAGTGAAAATGCCCTTTATCTTGAGTCTTTTGTGCAGAGCACACATCATATATCACGCTAGGAATTGTGCTCAGTACAGGGGACACAAAAGTGAAAATACATCCCACCCTCGCCTTCTCCCACAGAGTCCAAAAGTCTGTTCTGTAGCCCAGGTTGGATGCATGAGACAAGTGCTCAGGGCTGGTGCACTGGGAAGACCCAGAGGGATTGGGTGGAGAGGGAGGTGGGAGGGGGGATCGGGATGGGGAATACATGTAAATCCATGGCTGATTCATGTCAATGTATGGAAAAAACCACTACAATAGTGTAAAGTAGTTAGCCTCTAGCTAATAAAAATGAATGGAAAAAAGAGTGAAAATACACACAGTACAGCTCTTATAAATTATCTTGCAATTAACCCAGATTTCATTCACATATTGGGATTGCTCCATATGCAAAAAAAAGGTTTCTTTTTTTAAAATATGATCTGCTCATAAGAACACTGAATCATCTTGAGTGTTTTTGTCATTGTCGAAAGTCAACAAAGATAAAATCTCTTATCATTTCATGAATCCAAATTTCTGAAAAGATTGTCACTGCTTAAATGTTTTGCAGAACATTTAGTTTATAAAATGATAGCCCACTTTGGGCAATTTGAAAGGCACATCTGAAGTCTTGATGATATGCCCATACCCTTTCATTCTGGTATTTCATTTCCTGGAAGTTCTGAAGGGAATAATCAGGTGTTTGCCTTAGAGATCATCTGCAAGGCGTCCTGAGCACCCGGGGGTGAGATCTGTCCTGGTGGAGTCTCTCAGTGAGACAGTGCACAACCGTTATGGTACCTGGACAGATGGCATCAGTCGGGGCAAAGTAGGAGAATACACACTTGGCCCCAATTATATTATGTAAAAGTTACCTTTGTGCTTCTAAATCAGACATTTATAATCTTGTAGTAATTGCTTCTGCATTATGAAAAGTTAGTTTTAGGAGAAAAGTCACTGTCTAGGGTCACTGTTAGTTACTGCTTTTAAGGAGGTGTAATTTACATAAAGGGCTTCCCTGGCTTCTCAGTGGTAAGGAGCCCACCTGCCAAAGCAGGAGACATGGGTTTGATCCCTGGGTCAGCACTATCCCATGGAGAAGGAAATGGCAACTCACTCCAGTATTCTTGCTTGGGAAATGCTATGGCCAAAAGAGCCTGGTGGGTTATAGTCCATGGGTTTCGAAGAGTTGGACACAACTTAGTGACTGAGCCCTATTCTAAACCTGAGGCGGCCTTTCTCTTGAACCTTATAGTCCATGGGGTTGCAGAAGAGTCGTACAAGACTTAGCGACTGAACGATAACAATTGAAATACAGGAAAAGTCCCAGATCTTGGTTTTTTTTTTTTTATGTCTGATGACTTTTGACAGTTAACATTCATCTGTGTAGCTATCACTCAAAACAAGAAGTTGACTGTTTTTGTGCCAGTCATATGTCATTAGACTTCCAGTGTCTGGGATCCAGGAACCCAGCTCATCCTTTGTACTGCTGCATATTCTGCCTGCAGCCTCACTTCCTGCATATCAGTGAGAAATCTTCCCAGAATTGAGAGATTTTCACACTGCATCATTGGCACCCTGGTGGTTGTCTAGTAACTAACAGTCAACGAGAGACTCAAAAGTAGACAAAATACCTCAAAGAGACTTTTTTAGAGATGCTTTTTTGTTTTTACATATGATCACTTTGAAACCTCATGGATGACTGTGAGTTCTGGTGTCATGGGGCTCTTTGTATTCAGAGGTTCATCTGCTGTCATGGGAGAAGCAGTAGGGTAGTTCTGTGGCTGGGAAGTGATGAGCATGTGGTTTGCTGTTCCTGTTGTTTAGCTGTGGATGCCCTGACCTTGCATGCCCAGAGCTGGCTGCAGGAGCATCCTTTCTCTTGAGTGTTGCCTACATTTCAGTCAGTGTTGAGGTTTGCAAAAGATTCAGTGCACCTCTACAACCTGGAGGGCTTCCTTGATTATCCACAGTTTCCAAAAGAGAAATTAGAGTTTAGACTGTTGGTGCTTGTCCAGCCCTCTTTCCAAATACAGTGAAGGGCAGAGCAGGATCAAAGCCCAGATCCTCTTGCCATGGGCCTCTTGAAGGTGCCCAAGGGTCTTGGGATAGGAGCCTACCCACTCCATGGAGTGGCCTGTCTCTGAGTTGTGACTTCCTTTGACCGTCCTCTCAGCAGAAGTCCTCCATGGGCACCAAATTTTGGCAGCAGTCTGTTGAGGACAAAGAGGACAAGACCCCCACGTGGCAGAAGTTCACCCAGGCAGAGATGGCAGAGGCTGTGGAACGAGACCGGAAGCGCCGAGAGGAGAGGCTGGACGCCTGTGCCGCCAAACTCAAGCAGCTGGACCAGAAGTGCAAGCAGGCTTAGTGGGCGAGTAAGGCCCAGAAGCAGGCAGAGAAGGAAACCCCCTGCTCTCCGCGGGCTGAGAAGGCGACTCCCTGGGAGAATGGCCTTGCCATGCAGAAAGGTGAGCAGTGAGCCTGGCCCCTGACCTGGAAACCGGGGATGTGTCACTGAGCATCTCCCTGGCTTCTCAGCACAAACTGTGGCCAATGGGGATCCCAGTTGTTAGGAGTTCAGGCCTGGATCAGGGGCCTGGGTTCACATCCTGTTTCTACCACTGAAGCCAGCTGGCCACGTGCCTCTCCTCTGAGGCCCATTTCCTCATCAATGAAGTGGGTTGAGGAGAGTCTGTACCCATCCCCACCCACACCACCCCTACCTCCCAGGCTAAGGGTCCTGGGAGATGTCACGAAGCACGCAGCACATCTCAAGATGCAGAAGCACCCGCGTCCTTGTGGTGTCGTCACTGTCGTCATTAGCACTACTGCTCAGCGGTGGTGATGTGGTTGCTGGAGGACCTCAGTAGGAGCACAGGGCTCTTGTGTCACTGAAAAAAGCCCCGTGGGGTAGGTGCGGCCGTCATCCTCAGAGGGGCTGCCTGGCCAGCCTGACTCACATAGCACTGGGTGGAGGTGGGGGCACATGGCCTCTTGGTGAGGTCCCATCCACTCTGTTTTCCTGGGTCCATTTTAATAGACCCTCTCCCACCTGGAGTTGCATCCCAGCTCTACTGCCAACTGTGCAAATTCAGGCAATTCCCCTGATCGCTCCACCCTTCATTTTCTCATCTCTGTTGGTGGGGGGCCGGGGGAATCTGTAAGCTCGGGCATGGGAAGTGTTAGCCCAGTGCCAGGGTTTGGGGATGTGGATAGTTAAGCAGTGGAAGGTATGTGCCAACAAGATAAATCATTTTCCATTAAATATTCACTCAGCCAAGCTTCCATGAGGTCACCTGGCTGCTTCTCCACTTGTTCTGTAGGATCCCCTGAGTTCTCTGCCCAGGAGACTGCTGGCACGTTTTCAGAAGAAGCCCCCACAGCTCCTCCCACAGTGGCTCAAAGCAGCGGCAGTGAGGAGGGGCCCAGAGAGGCTGGGTCCCCTGTGAAGAAATTCAGCAAGTACCAAAAGTCGCTCCCTCCAGGTTCCAGAGCCAGCAGCAGCAGCAGCAGCAGGTAAACAGGAGATGCTTAGCCCGTATTGTAAACAGACTCGCCTTTCCGTCTCCCAGGCTTCTTCAATTAAAGCAAACGACACCCACCCTCCTGTACCCCAGTCACCAGCAGGGACATGGAGAGTGGGGGACCTTTCATTTCTTCAGGTAATTCATCCTCTGGATGAAAACCTTTGTTGGTAGTTTACGGACCCTGTTGTCTAGTGTTGAAAGGAATGGGTGGTGGTGTCTGAGTGGTTTTCTCATTCGGAGTTGTACAGTGTGGCTACTCTACACACTGACAGCAACCCCACCCTGGAGCCTCCCCAGGAGGAAGGGGCCAGGGGGCTGTGTGGAGAGCACTAGAGAGGCATGTTGGCTTTGAGTTAAGGGTGGATGTTTGTAGGTTTTGCGTCAAACAGCTTTGAGTTCTGGTCCTAACGGTGCTGCTTATCTAGCTGTGTGGGGCCTTGGACAGGTCAGTGTGAAGCAGAAGGAATGAAGCCCTGACCCTCTGTGTGGCAGTGAGGGGTTCTGCCATGCCTGTAGACTAGTTAATCGGTAGTCTAGTAGTGTTTTTATTGGTGTTCCCTCAATGTTTTTAAAATATTGAGTCTCTCTCTCTCTTTGTTTTGGCTGTGCTGGGTCTTCGTGGTGGCATGTCAGCTTCTCTGGTTACAGAGCATGGGCTTAGGTGCCCTGTGGCATGTGGGATCTTAGTTCCCTGACCAGGAATCAAATCCACAGCCCCTGCATTGAAAGGTGGATTCTTAAACACTGGACCTTCAGGGAAGTCTGGTAAATTATTGTTAGTAATTAAAATTGTCAGGTGAGTGCACAATTTCCTCAGTTCTGTCTCCTCACAACAAAAATTTGAAGTCACAGATGTTAAAGCCCTTGGCGTGTCACAGCTCTTGGACAGACCTTGTTATAGCTCTTAGCTCTAGGACAGACTGTGTTATAGCTCTCGGACAGACCAGTGTTAAAAGCTCCGTGTTACAGTTCAGTTTTATTTAGAAAATAAAAGGAAAGTACATCCTTGAGGCATGAGAGCATGCCGACCCAAAAGACATGAAGAGGAGAGAGAGAGAGAGAGAGAGAGAGAGAGAAAGTGCGTGGGAGGGAGAGAGATCCCTGGCCTTTGGCTCCTTTTTTATATGTTATTCTTCCCTCTGGGCCTGCCCTCTGTAAATTGGGCAAGCCAGGAGTCCTGTTTTTTCTACCTGAGGTCCTCACTCTGGTCCTCGGACCTTCCTTTGTTCTATTTTTGCGGGTTCTTTCCTTCCTTGTCTTTTAGCCACCGCCATTCTGGACTCATTTTTTCCTATTCTAACTGTGTAATATTCACCACTCAAGAGGTGGGAGGCCCAATTCTTTGGGAATAGGGGTATCGCAGTCTCTCTGGCTAGTCACTCCTGGACTGGAATGGCGAATGGGAATTGGGCCTCCCCCTCTTGCTAGTCTCAGGCCTCAGAGTCCTTACAGCAGTATCCATCTAAGGGTGAGTGATATTTTCCGTGGTTGGAAAGTTTTATCTATCCTAGTTGAACTGGCACTGCATGTTGTAGCTTCTTGATCCGGGCAGAGACCACCAGGCAGGCTGAGGTGTGACAGCCTCCTGGAGGTCGAATCTCTGGGCAGGTCGAGGCAGGTCAGCCTCACAAGAATTGGGTCCCTGAACCCTCTTACACTGTTGGTGGGAGTGCAAATTAGTACAGCCACTATGGAAAACAGTGTGGAGATTTCTTAAAAAGCTGGAAATAGAACTGCCATATGACCCAGCAATCCCACTTCTGGGCATACACACCGAGGAAACCAGATCTGAAAGAGACACGTGCACCCCAATGTTCATCGCAGCACTGTTTATAATAGCCAGGACATGGAAGCAACCTAGATGCCCATCAGCAGACGAATGGATGAGGAAGCTGTGGTACATATACACCATGGAATATTACTCAGCCAGTAAAAAGAATTCATTTGAATCAGTTCTAATGAGATGGATGAAACTGGAGCCCATTATACAGAGTGAAGTAAGCCAGAAAGATAAAGACCATTACAGTATACTAACACATATATATGGAATTTAGAAAGATGGTAACGATAACCCTATATGCAAAACAGAAAAAGAGACTCAGATGTATAGAACAGACTTGTGGACTCTGTGGGAGAAGGCGAGGGTGGGATGTTTCAAGAGAACAGCATCGAAACATGTATATTATCTAGGGTGAAACAGATCACCAGCCCAGGTTGGATGCATGAGACAAGTGCTTGGGCCTGGTGCACTGGGAAGACCCAGAGGAATCGGGTGGAGAGGGAGGTGGGAGGGGGGACCGGGATGGGGAATACATGTAAATCCATGGCTAATTCATTTCAATGTATGACAAAAACCAAACAAAAAAAATAAAAAATAAAAGTAAAAAAAAAAAAGAATTGGGTCCCTGGGCAGGTTGAGGCATGATGACCTCTTGGGACCCCTGGACTGGTGGATCCGCGAGAAGATTGAGGCGTGACAACTTTTCAAGGACCAGATCCCTAGGCAGGTCAGGGCACGTTGACCTCCTGGGACCCCCGAGTGGAGTTGGGCATCCCTAAGGTCTCCACATGATCAGTGCTGGGTAGGATTCAGTTCAGTTCAGTTGCTCAGTCATATCCGACTCTTTGCCACCCCATGAACTGAAGCACACCAGACCTCCCTGTCCATCACCAACACCCAGAGATTACTCAAACTCATGTCCATTGAATTGGTGATGCCATCCAACCATCTCATCTCTGTCATCCCCTTCTCCTCCGCCTTCAATCTTTACCAGCATCAGGATCTTTTCAAATGAGTCAGTACTTCTCATCAGGTGGAGAAAGTATTGGAGTTTCAGCTTCAACATCAGTCCTTCCAATGAATATTCAGCACTGATCTCCTTTAGGATGGACTGCTTGGATCTCCTTGTGGTCCAAGGGACTCTCAAGAGTCTTCTCCAACACCACAGTTCAAAAGCATCAATTCTTCGGCGCTCAGCTTCCTTTATACTCCAACTCTCACATCCATACACGACTACTGGAAAAACCATAGCCTTGACTAGATGGACCTTTGTTGGCAAAGTAATGTCTCTGCTTTTTAATATGCTGTCTAGGTTGGTCATAACTTTCCTTCCAAGGAGTAAGCATCTTTTAATTTCATGGCTGCAGTCACCATCTGCAGTGATTTTGGATCCCCCCAAAATAAAGTCAGCCACTGTTTCCCCATCTATTTGTCATGAAGTGATGGGACCAGATGCCATGAGCTTAGTTTTCTGAATGTTGAGCTTTAAGCCAACTTTTTCACTCTTCTCTTTCACTTTCATCAAGAGGCTCTTTAGTTCTTCACTTTCTGCCATAAGGGGGGGTATCATCTGGATATCTGAGGTTATTGATATTTCTCCTGGCAATCTTGATTCTAGCTTGTACTTCATCCACCCCAGCATTTCTCATGATGTACTTTGCATGTAAGTTAAATAAGCAGGGTGACAATATACAGCCTTGACATCCTCCTTTTCCCATTTGGAGCCAGTCTGTTTCTCCATGTCCAGATCTAACTGTTCCTTCCTGATATATATACAGATTTCTCAAGAGGCGGGTCAGGTGGTCTGGTATTCCCGTCTCTTTCAGAATTTTCCACAGTTTATTGTGATCTGCACAGGTAAAGGCTTTGGCATGGTCAATAAAGCAGAAATAGATGTTTTTCTGTAACTCTCTTGCTTTTCTGATGATTCAGAAGATGTTGGCAATTTGATCTCAACCAGCTGGGGTAGGATTAAGGGGTGGTAATTTTAACTCATTGCCAGTTTGTTCACTGCAGATGGAAATATATACCACGATGTAAAGCAGTCCAAGCCTGTGCCT